GAGGCATTTTTAATAATGTAGGTGCTTTGGCCACAAACCAGAACATTCATATCAGAATCTTTGGGAGTGGCACTAGCCATCAATATTTCTGAAAGTTCTTTGTGCGGTCATAACATGCAGTTAAAGTGGAAAACCATTTCCTTAGAGTCTTAAGATTGAGTGAGTCATAACCAACACTTTATAAAAGAAAAGAAAATGTAAGAGGATATGCTGCATAACACAGGTAGAGTTTGTTTTAGTAAACTTTTGGTTTAGTTTTGCAGAGTGCATATTCACACTGTGTTGCAATGTTAAATACACACATTATATGCTGCAAGGCAAAGATCTGATAAAAAAAAGGGTGGTTGAGAGCCCAGACACCAGAGGAAGCAAGGAAAATATGTAGATTGGGACAGTGTTCTCATTTTCTTCTCCATTTTACTAAGAGCAAGGTTTGTAGGCCATTCATATATACTTCAGAAAAAACTTGCAATACCAGAAGTAACTTATTTATTTCATTGATTAAACCTAATTTCATGAATTGGCAAACTTCCCCAAGACAAAGGACTTATCTAGACTTGGTGGTATAAGGAATAATTTGTGCTTTAATGGAAAACTCTGCATTGTTTATAGCATACCCTTTCACTATAACTTACTGTAATGTTATGCATTATAATTTTACAACTCTGAAAATTATAGATAATTGATAGAAATGAATAGTTCTCTATAAGCACACAGTTCCTTTCCTGTCCAATGAAGATTCATTTGCTTTCTCTCTCTAATCTGGAAGAAGATAGTGTTGTCTCCTGTGCACATTCATTTCAACATTCTTTATTTCACAAAAAAATGTGTGCTTTTGTGATTTCTCCTTTGAACTGGTTATAACATCAGTGTGGTTCTTTCATGAGTTCAATGAAATATTTAACATGGTTACTTTTCCATCACTGTAAAAATCATGATTTCATTCATTTTTTTAATATCAACTTTTAACAGTGATAATTACCTCTCGAGAACATGGCAGGTCATTGTACTTTTTGGTCTCTTCTTTCTATGGGTCAAATGACCACCACTTCCTGACCCTGTACCACCCCTGCAATCTGCCTCAGTACAGCCACAAACAGGATCTGAACACACCACAGATGCTGGGCTTGGATCCAGTCCCGGAAAAGCATGGCCAAGATTAAGTAATACCATTGCATATCTTACTTTTATGTGAAACAGAATATATGCTGGTGAAATTTTATAACTCACATAATACAAAAAATAAGCAAAGTGCCAAATTTACTAATTTGTTTCTTTTTTTCTCCTAACATGCTCAAATTTGAATATACTTTCCTGGTCATTTCAACAAACATTTATAAGGGATTTCCCTTTCTGGCATCATAATGGAAAGACACACTGAAAAACCTCTCATATAAGGCACCTAGAAATCACAGGCTCAATTAAACTAACACCTTTTGAAAATATCCAGTTAAACTTAGAAGAAAATAGGACAAATAGGGTTAGAATAACCATATATTCAAATACAAAATAAATGAACTCAGACATATATCTTACATCCTTCAAAAAAATTAACTCAAGATGGATCATAGACATACATGTAAAATTCAGAATTACAATTTCCTAGAAGATAATGTAAAAGAAAGTCTAGATGACCTGAAGTTGGTGACTTTTTAGATATAACACCAAAGACATGATCCATGATAAGCTGGACTTCATTAATAACTGTAACTTTTCTAGAAAAGACACTGCCAAAAGAACATAAACCACAGATTGGGAGAAAATATTTGCAAAATGCTTACCTGATCAAGGGCTGTTGTGCAAAATACACATAGAACATTTAAAAGTCAGCAATTGAAAACCAAACAATCCAATTAAAAAAATGGGCAAAAGACTTCACCAAGGAAGACATGGTAAGCAAGCATACGAATAGGTGCCCAATATCATATGTCATCAGTGAGTGGCAAATGAAAACAACACTGAAATACCATTGCACACCTACTAGAATGGGTCAAAATCCAAAGCACTGACAACAGCAAATGCTGACGAGGATGTGGAACAACAGACACTCATCACTGGTGGGGATGCCAAATAATACAACTACTTTGGAAAGACAGTTTAGCAATTTCTTACAAAACTAAACATTCTCTTACAATACTATTCAGCAATCATGCTCCATGCTATTTACCCAAAGGAATTCAAAACTTACAGCCGAACAAAGACATTCCTAATGATGTCTGTAGCAGTTTTATTCCTAACTGCCAAGGTGTACTTCAATAGGCATATAAAATCACTACTAAAAAGAAATGTGCTATCAAGACATGAAAAGACATGAAGGACATTCTTATGCGAAAAAAACCAGTCTTGAGGCTACATGTTCTATGATTCCAACTATATGACATTTTGGAGAATCTGATTTCCAGAATCGCAGCTTATTTAAATGTCTATTTTTAAAGAAAATATTATAAAACATATAAAAAATCAGTGAAATATGGCCCATAAGTAAAAGAAAAGAAGTCAATAGAAACAGAATCCAAAGAAACCCATATATTGGACTTGCTCGACAAAGGTTTTAAAAAAAGGATTTACTTATTTTTGCATAGAAGAACTGAGGTATAGGCCAGAGGTGTGGGGGGTGAGAGGATTCACCAGAGACAGAGTGGGGTCAGAGCAGATGGATTGACTGAAATACACTGCTGAGGGGAGCAGCATGTAAGATAGGAGAGGTCAGCTATGCCTTGTGACTCAGCCCCTGTCTGGGAATTGAACTCAGTCCACAACAGTAATAATGCTGAGACTTAACCCCTTACCCAACAGGGAGGTCCTAAAATCTATGTTTAGAAAGAAATAAGGAATTAAGAAATTTACAGAGAAGAAAGAAAAGAAGGAAGTAAAATCAGCATTAAAATAATTTTCCCAGAAAGAAAACACCAATCTCAGCCAATTTTAAAAAGCAAGTATATCCAAATACTCAATTACCCAATAATTCTAATCTACAAAATATACTATGGCATAAAAAAAGAAGTAACATCTCACAGCTAATTTTGTAAACCCAGCACAGTCATGACAGGAAGCTCCAGTCTACTCCCACACTAGGCCTGAACAGTGAACCAAACCACATCTTACTGTGTGTGTTAATATGACTGGAGCTGTTCATTCATTCCTTTATTCTTCCAGGATGCTCCTACTCAGGCAAATGATTTTTTGATTCTTCATTGTAGGAATTTCCTGAAAGACTCATCAACTCTTCAGTAATAAACATCAGCAGACAGCTTACATCCTGGGATGTTTGAATCTCTTGCTGTCTTTTCCCCAGTTCTGACTGTTACATCTTGATGATTATCCAAGTCTAGTCGGCACCACCTTCTTTGAAAGACCTCATAAAATTAAACATCTAATTCAATAACTTCTGACCTTATCTTCCCTTTGTCACAGACACTGCCAAAGTTTTATAGGACTGCGGTTCTCTTAAGAAGTTATCAAATTGGGGCCTCCCTGGTGGTGCAGGTGGTGGAGCGCAGCACTGTAAAGCTGTCCACAGCCTCTGCAGTGCCAGTTCAATCCCCACCGGCCTCGGAGCAGCCCATATAGCAAGCAGACCTCTCCTGTCTCACCCACTGCTCCCCTCAGCAGTGTATTTCGTCAGTCTGCCTGTTCTGTTCCCCTCTGTCTCTGGTGAATCCGCTTACCCTCCTGCGCATCTGGCTTGTACCCCAGCTCTTGTATAAATAAAATAAAAAAAAAGAAGTTATCAAATTGTCAGCTTTTTCTCATCATCAGGTTGTGTTGGTGATGATTTAGTAGCAATATTGGACATTTCAGAAAAAGAGATTTAAAGGGAAAATTATAGGCCAATCTCTCTCATGAGGATAGATGCAAAAATCCTAGACAAACTGTCACATAGCTGAATATAGTAATATATAGTAGTAAATAACAAGTAGTGATACAAGTTCAGTTTATCCAAGGAATGCAGAATTAGATTAGCATTATAAAATATAATTAGTATAATTTCTACATTAACAGATTAGAGGAAAAATGCATATGATCAACTCATTAGAGACAGAACATTTTTTTGTTAAAAATCAATATCCATTCAAAGAAAAGCTAGTCTCAGATAATATCTGACCACATTATATTTATTAAACAAATGTTTATTTATAAACAAATTCAAAACAGTTTATATAACCTGTTTGAACTCTTATACATAATCAAAAAGGATTCATTTTGAGGAAAGTTTATTGTGAAATCCCAATGAGATACAACTATACTCCCACAGAATAACTAAGATTAAAAAGTCAAAGATAAACACTGTATGATTTCATACAATGAAATAGAGAGAGAAAAAACAGATGCATTAGTAACTATGAATTAGTAATTACCAAAAAGAAGGGTGGGTAAATCTGGAAAAAGGATTCGAAAAAAGTGATAGGGTAAAGGATAGACTTAGACTTGAACAGTGAATTTAATAGAATGAATACACATGTTGATCAATAATGATGCATACTTCAAACTTATATAATGTTATAAAGCAATGTTATTTTTTTAAAGATTGATTTATGCATACAAGACCTGGAGTATAGGCCAGAGGTGTGGGGGGTGAGAGGATTCACCAGAGACAGAGTGGGGAATGAAACAGGCAGATTGACCCAAGTACACTGCTGAAGGGAGCAGTGGGCAAATCAGGAGAGGTCTGCTGCACCATGTGGGTTGTTCCCTGGCTGGCCAGGAATCAAACTCATGCTGCAGTGGCTATGGGTAGCTTCATAGGTTGCATCTTAACACTTGCGCCACCAGGGAGGCCCTAAAGCAATGTTATTTTAGTAAAATAAATCTACATTTTTTTTGGTAAAAGACTGCTAACTCCAAACTTCAAGTATTACTGAGAATGTGGTACAACCAGGACTTGCATATATTGTAGGTGGATCTGAAAATTAGTGCAACAATTTTGGGTAAGAGTCTAGATGTTTCTTCTAAAAATTGACATGTACTTACCTTTATCACATCCACATTCTTTTTTTTTTTTAGTTGAAGAACAGCTTTATTAACAAATTTTAGGCATATAATTCACTTTGAGTTGTAGCTCATTCTATCAGCTACAACTTATTCTGACAAAAATAAACTTTCTACCACGTAAAACCTAGCCTTCCCTTAGATTTTTGAAAATTATTTTATTTTGATCCATGAGAGTTATAAAATGGAAGCTGAACTCCAGTAACATCATTTGCCTGATAGCTGGGTCTTATCCCACCTCTGTCCATAAACACTGGCCCACGACCACCTCCAGGTCCCATCTGAACAGCTTTTACTAGAGGGTAAATATATTTATTTGTTGACTCAGATTCAAATTCAATTACTTCTCTGGCATAATCCTGAAATTCTTTCTCCTTTTCAGCCAAAAGTGCATCAGTTAGTCTCCAATAGTCCAATTCAGCTTGCTTTGCATTGAACTTATTTTTGGCTATTTGCTGAATATGGGCCTCTTGAATTTCTTTATGTTCTTTATCAGCTTTGCATTTTTTCTCCTTTTCATGCTCATAGAAAATTTGATCTGCTTTCAAAATAGCATGCAATTGTTCTTTCGCCTCTATTTTTTTTTGCCTTTCTTCTTCCTCTTTATTTTTCATCACAGTGGCTCTGTATTCTGCAATTGCTTTTAATTCTGCTTTATTCTTTTCATATTTTTCTCTTTCTTTTTTTTCCCATTCAGCCTCAGCTTCTGCAATATCTCTAGCAATAATCAAATCTTCGTTGTCAAGTTTCTTTTTCATTAGTTCACTCAGGAAGTTGTTGATTCTTTCTCTCCGTTCCTCCATTAGCCTGTGTGTTTCATCTTCTTTTTCTTTCCTCAATTGTGTAAGACATTTTTTCGCTTTGATAAATTTTCTAATCTTTTCATCAGCTTCTTCTTGTTGCTGCTGTTCTACAGCTTTTATCATATTTTTATCATTCAGGTGTTCCTTGGGGGAGAAAACTGTGTATTATCCTATCACAAAAAAAATCTTTCAACATATGAATGTTAATAAGAACCTGTTAAATGGTTACAGTCTCTCTGGTTACATTTTCTCTCTGAAAATTTATCCCATAAAGATGATCAGAGATGTGCATTAAGTTTTATGAACCATATACTTCATTTCAAAGTTATTTATAACAGCAAAAAATTGGGAACAATCTTTAAATATTCAATAATGTGGAAATGGCTAAATTATAGTCTAAGTGACATGGAGAGATACAAAAAATCAGTAATAACATAATTGGTAAAACATATATATGATAAATAGGTACAAATTTATGATATGTATATAACCAGAGGAAATGTATCAAATATTAATATTAATCTTGAGTACAAGACTATGACATCCACATTCTTGATATTATATTTAGATATCAAATTTAGATATAACAACAAAGGCATCTTCCATGATAAGCTTTTAAAAATACTTGTACTTTTAAAAAGTATGTGATATTAATATGCATAGTGATTAGAACTATAATGATGAAGTTTAGAAAAAAACTACACTTACCCTATGATTCAGCAGTTCAACTCCTACTATTTTACCTAAGGTAATAAAGACATATGTGTGAATGTTCATGGCAATTTTTTCATAACTACCAGTAATTTGGAAATCACCCAATGCTTATTAATTGAGTAATGAATAAAAATGGTGGTGGAAATTCCATAATGCCACAACAGTAAAAATTAACTATTAATACACACATGATGGATGAATCTTAACAATATTATAGTGTGTGAAAGAAGGTAGACACAAAATAATGTATAATGAATTATTACATTTGTATGAAACACTGGGAAAGACAAATCTAAACAACAGTGATGGGAAGCAGGTCAATGGTTGCCTGGGACCATGGTGGGTGCTACTGTCTGAATGTTGTTGCTTCCCCCCAACCCAAAACTCATGTTGAAATCCTAACCCCCAATGTGATGGTATTAGGAAGTGGGGCCTTTGGGAAATTATTTTTTTTAAGATTTATTTTATTTATTTATGCATAGAGGAACTGGGGTGTAAGTCAGAGGTAATGGAGGTGAGATGATTCACTAGAGACAGAGTGGGGAGCAGAACAGGGAGATCTACTGAAATACACTGCTGATGGAAGCAACAGGGGAGACAGGAGAGGTCTGCTGTGGAGTGTGGGTTAGCTCCCTGACTGGGGATTGAACTGTCTGCTGTGGCTGGCAATAGCTTGGTAGCGCTGAGACCTGTCCCCTGGGCCACTAGGGAGGCCTCTTTGGGAGATTAAGTCATGAGGGTAAAACCCTCAGGAACGAATTACAGGTTTATCCCACTCCTTGAAATTAGAACCTTCTTATGAAACCTTTTCTACATCAAATTGGGGTAAAGCAGGGCCTCCCTGGTGGCGCAGGGGTATTTTAAGTAGTTTTCCCCATTTCAAAATAAATGATCGGGCCTCCATGGTAGTGCAATGGGTTAAGTCTCAGCACTATGAAGCTATCAGCAGCTACTGCAGAAGGAGTTTGATCTCCAGCCAGGGAGCTGACCCACATGGCATGGCAGACCTCTCCTGTCTTGCCCGCTGCTCCCCTCAGCAGTGTATTCCAGTGGATCCACCTGTTCTGCTCCCCACCCTGTCTCTGATGAATCCTCTCACCCCCTGCACCTCCAGCCTACACCCTAGTTCTTGTATGCATAAATAAATTAATCTTTTTTAAAAATATAATTATTGTTAATTACTATAGAAAAATTTTTGAGTGTTCCCAGACCCAAAAAATAACCTACCAAATCATACGAGCACATTAAATACTAAAATGCCACTAACACACAGTAAAACAGGAAAGATATGCTAAATAAAGAGTCTGTATAAAGTATTTCCCAGGGAAGAAACTTGTCAGTGTCACTCTCCACGCTTGGGGTGCTCACTGCCCCTCTAATGGCTGCTGCAAAACAAACACTGATTTTCACTTTTGCTTTTTACCTTTTGTCCTCTTGGTATTTCTTTCAGTTAGTGAAAACAGATACTAACAAAGTCTCTTGTAAGAACAAAGTGGCTTAACATGAGCTTTCAAGAAAACAAGAACCCCTGTAATATCTCTGTAAGAGTTTTCTTCCACTTTCTGCTGTCTGCCATGTGAGATGCCACTTAGGTGGCCATGTACAAAAGGAAGCAGGTCCTTACCAAACACAAGATCTGCCAGCACCATGACTTTGGAGTTCCTAGTCCCCAGAACCATGAGGTTCACAGTCTCCAGAACTGTGAGATATAAATGTTCATCACTAGGCAATCTGTTAGAGCAGCCTGGACTGACTAAGATAGAGGGGTGGGTATTGCCTGTCAATGGAACAAAGAAATTGTGTGAGGTGATGGATGCAGTCTATGTGATGCTCTATGTGATGGTTATATAACTGCATACTTTGAAAAGAATCATCAAATTTTATGGTTATGATTAGCCAGTACGTGGAAAGTACGGGACCTGAATTTACTTGACCTTCGAAAGTGAAGTGTACTTCCCTTATTAAACTGATAAGATCAGATACTACACTTGATCTCAGCCAAAAGACTAGATGTGATCTACATTTTTAAATGCTAAGTTTAACCACCAACATAGAATACAGTAGAAAGGAAACGTATGAATTCAAACCATGAAAAGAAATAAGGGATTTTTTTTTAAATCCATCCAGAAAATGCAAGGTTTAACATAACATTATTATGTCAAATGTTATGTTTCCTATAAGAAAACAGTTTAAAAAGCACAAATGAAGCTATTTAAATAAATATAAATATACCAATAAGTCACACAGATGTAAGTGAACTCAAGTTGCCCTGTAAAAGATAGTCTCATACTGGAGAGCTTACTATGTGCCAAGGATTGTGCACGGCATGAGGCAGAAAAAGGTAAGGGGTTTATGGGGAAGTAAGAAGCCAGACAAATGGTTATTCTATCACCAGTGCCGTGAGCTATGTCTGAGAGCAGAAGGTATTCCATGGAGTTACCAGAACACAAAAGGCATAATGCTCTCCGTGGTAAAAGGGGTGACTTATTTACTCAGGTTAAGAAGTAGTAGAAGAGCGTACTTGACAGAGGGAATGGCCTGAGCAGAGCGCAAAGGAGAGACATAGCGTGCTGTTTTAAAGATAATATGCAACTTCATGTCCCTAATCTGGTTAGTGAGTTTTGATGAACTGATAAACTCTTTTACAGCTACCGATCACAGAATCATTTAATTCTCCATCTCAGCAATATAGCATCCTGGAAGAGGCTAATTTTGAGCATGGAGCCTAATTAAATGGAATCAAATCATAATGGAAAGGATCAACTATTGGTAAATAAGTATTCTTACCTTAAGATATGCCTGAGTCTTAAGAGTTAGTATATTTGTTAGTACACATGGATTCATAAATCCAAATTGCAAATTGAATGGATTTTGATGACTAACTTCTATATCCTACCTAACTCTTAAGGATGAACCCACCTCCATCATCCTCTGTCAGTTTTCATGAATGAAAGTTTTCCTCTGAACTGTCAGTGTATTAGCTTAAGAAATTTCCAATTTTCTCCCTCATTCTTTACTTATTTCTACCTCCATACTTCTGGAATTTCCTGGAAGACAGAACCCATGTCCATTTCACTTTAGTTAACAACACAAAACCCAATACTTTGCACATAATGGGTGGATGCTTTGAATTAACATGATGGTCTAGACAACCTATGGAATGGGAAAATAGTTTCAAATCATATCTTTGATAAGCAATCCAAAACATATATCCAAAATATATAAAGAACTCACAAAAGTCCATAGCAAAAACAAACAAATAATCCAATTAACATATGGGCAAATGACCTGAATAGATATTCAAAAAAGACACATAGATGGCCAGTAAGTACATTTTAAAATGCTCAATATCACTAATCACAAAGGAAATCCAAATCAAAAGCACAGTGAAATGTCACTTCATGTCTTTTAGAATGCCTATGATAAAAAAAAGGGGATATAACAAATGTTGAAGATGTAGAGAAAAAGAAACCCTATGTGCTACTGATGGAATTGCAAATTGGTAGAACCACTATATAAAACAGTATGGAGGTTCCTCAAAAAATTAAAAATATAACTACCATATGATCCAGCAATTCCACCTCTAGGTGTATATCTGAAGAAAACAGAAACACTACATTGAGGATATTATCTCACCCCAATGCTCAGAACAGCATTATTTACAATCACCAAGACATGGCTACAACTTAAGTTTCCATCAGCAGATGAATGGATAAAGACATTGTGCTATATGTAGAAATGGAATGTTATTCGGCCATAAAAAGAAGAAAATTGTGCAAGAAAATGGATGGATCTAGAGGGAATTATGCTAAGTGAAATAAGTCAGAGAAAAGACAAACACTATATGATCGCACTTATATGTATGGAATCTAAAAAAAACAAGCTCAAAAAAAGAGGTCAAATTTGAGTTTCTCTTTATATCTATATTAGTTGAGGGATGTTAATTTAACTTGTGGTAATCACTTGAATATATATGTAAGTCAAATCAGTATGGTGTACACTTTAATGTTCTATGCCAATATATCTCAAGAAAACTGGTGGGAAAATATGGATAGTTGCTATAATTGCTGCATATTAATATTTCAAAGATAATTTCATGTTATTTTGCTAGCAACTACTGATAATATTTTACAAGAATTTTGATATTTGTATTTTCAAAAATAAGTAAGAAATTTTTAAAATGTCTACACATGTACTATTTACTATTTAAAGACTTAGGACCTGAAGGGGTGGTATTTCAAGATGGCATGAACAGTCTATTGGCAGACACCCTGGTACCACATGGGTCTGGAAACTATAGAAAGTATCCTTTGTTGCTTCAATACCAAGTGAGTGCCAAATGGACAGCCCCCCAGAGCTCAGAGTTAACATTAGCAGTAAGAAGATGAAAGCCAGAACAATCTGTATGCATAAACTCCCCAAGATGTCTAACAGCATCTTCACCATCTTCATTCTTCATTCTTCTAGTATCTTTTATTTCTCAAGACAAAAAATTATTTTCTGATGCCTTCTATCCTTTATTCATGCCTCAGGGTTAATTTGTGATATTGCTAAATCCTGGAATTTTAAAGTGCCTCTCTCTCTCTCTCTCTCTCTCTCTCTCTCTCTCTCTCTCAATTTGTGGGTGGAATTTTCCATTAACAAACTTAATCAGAGGTGCCTGTTTAGTTTGTTGGCTAGGGAAAGAGAAAACCAAAATGTAAAGTGCCTCTTCTGTGTGAGGAGCTGTGTGTGTATTTCACATCTGTCAATCAATCCTCACAGAAGCCATATAATAATAGCATTAATAGTAAGAGTTAACATTTATTGATGTTATATGCACTATCTCATTTGATTTTCATTCCAACTCTATGGAGTTAGCATATTATTCTCCCTGTCTTATAAATTTAAAAAACTGAGACTTGGAGAACAAGTGGGAAGTCATGACATTAACAATGAGCTCATATTAAACTTCCCAGTGGCAACACTTACAACTATGAGGCAGAAGTCTTCCCCATGGATCAGAAAAAATTATTTTCAATTTATAGAT